ATGAAAATTTTAAAGCTCCCATAGGTGGTTTTGTTGCAGCCAGCCTGATACCTATTTATAAGATCTCATTTGTGGTAACTGTCCTAGACCAAGGTGGCTCTCAAAGACCAGAGAAAGCTCTGCGATCAGCATGGGGTAATGGCCCTGTGATTACACGAGTTTTTTAAAACTAGTCATTTTTGCCCGGCCAGTGTGGCTCAGTTGGTTGAGCCTTGTCCCATGCACCAGGAGGTTCAATCCCCAGTCAGGACACATGCCCAAGTTTCAGTCTTGGTCCCCAGTAGGAGGCATGCAGGAGGCAGTCAATCAATATTTTCCTTCATAGATGTTTCTATTTCTCCTTCTCTCTTCCTCTCTCTGAAATCAATAAAAACATATTTTAAACAAATAAAGAAACTAGTCATTTATATTTTGATAGCAGCAAAAGCAAGCACTGTTTTAGTTCTCTATTTATGACCATTCATTTTATAAAACAAAACAAAAAACCTCTGAGGGTTATTAGGAAAAAGTTCTAGAGAAAGCCACACCTTCTGCAAGGCCCTGCAAACTTTTATCTGTAGACGTGTAGATGGAAGCTTAGTTCAAGCTGTTTCCTGGAATTCTCTCTACACAGATTCAGATCAAGGGACTTCATGAGTCGTCTGAGTGAACATGTGACTAGTCTCCCAGATGTGGACTTAAGCAATTCAGGCCCATCCCTGCCTGGTAATCAGTTGGTTAGAGCATCCTCCTGATAAAATATGGTTGCAGATCCCATCCTTGTCAAGGCACATACAAGGATTAACCAATGAATGCATAAATTATTGAAACATCAAATTGATCTATCTCTCTCTCTCTCTCTCTCTCTCTCTCTCTCTCTCTCTCTCTCACACACACACACACATCAATCATTAATCAATAAATCAATTTTTAAAAAGAAATTCAGACCCAGATACATAAATTCTTCTCCACCTTCTAAGATATAATGTCAGAACCTGCCACAAAATTCATTGAAAGGAATTTGAAAAAGCAGCCACAAACTTCTATTCCAATATACAAGGAGAAAAACAAAATAAGTTGAGAAGATGTTGGGTTGAAAAAAACAGCACAGCATATGGGTATAGAAAGTTGTTATGTATACTTTAAAAAACATATTTTAAAGCAAATGAGAACCTATAAGAGATTTATTTTGCATTTGGTGTCACACAAGAAAACTTAAACATTATTAAGGGGAGATATATGTTACATTTTTATTTTAATGGCTTTTTAAATGCATGATTTTCATAAAAACAAATTGCACCTATTTAATGTAAACAATTGTATAAGATTATTCATTTCTAGATACTTGTGGATCCATTACCACAATCAAGATAATGTACATACGCATCTCCCCCAAAGTTTCCCCATGTCTCTTTGTAATCCTTCCCTCAACCTTGCTCCCACTACCTATTCCTGTTTTCAGGCAACATCTCTTTCACATTTTAGTTTGCATATTTTATAATTTTGTATAAATGGAATTATTTGTACTCTTTTGTCTGGCTTCTTTCTCTCAGCATAATTATTTTGAAATTCTTCCATGGTCTCATGAGTAGCAACGTTTAATTCCATTTTTTGCTGATTAGTAAGTATTCCATCATCTACACTAATAATAGGGCCATCACGACTAGGACAGATGACTGAACAGTGGGCTCCTGGCCAACGAGGCACACAGGTGGGAAGGGCCTGTGGGCTTTGGGCCTCTGGGTCATGGCAGCGGTGAGAATGGTCTGTGAGCCCGGGGCCTTCGAGGTGCATTGGTGGTGAGAAGTGTCTTTAACCCTGGGCCACGAGGCACGGAGGCAAGAAGTATCTGTGGACCCCTGGCTGCCAGGGTGCAGGAGAACTCTGGGTCTCAAGCTTTCGGGGGTGTGGCCAGCCTTCAAACTGGATGGTGACAAGAGGGAGGAGGGAGCCCCATTCCTCACAGAATCCACTCTTGGGAGGAGGGAGTCTGCATGCCTGATCGCCCCTAACCATTCTGCCTGCCTGCCCAAGGGTTCCCGGATTGTGAGAGGGTGCAGGCCAGGCTAAGGGAACCCCCTCCCAATGCACGAATTTCATGCACTGAGCCTCTAGTATAAAGATAAAACAATTTGTTTGTTTATTCACCTATTGATTTACATTTTCATTAGCCCCTATTTGGGGTTGTTACAAATAAATCTACTATGAACATTTGTGTATACAATTATTTTAAAACATATGCTTTCATTTCTCTGTGGTCAATACCTGAGTGTGGAATGACTAGATCATATGATAGGTGTACATTTGACTTTGTTTAACTTGTTTGTTTTAGTACCATTTTGTAGATACCATTAGATTTTCTACTGGACAATTATGATGTCTGTGAACTAAGATAGGTTTGCTGCTTCCTTTTTGAATTGTATGTCTTTTATGTTTTCTCTTGCCTTATTGCACTGGCTAAAAGAGCTAGTACAATATTAAATACAGGAGGTATGGGCCAAAATTCTTGAACTTAGTGGGAAGCATTCAGACTTTCACCATCAAGTATGACATTTGATATAGGTTTTTTGTAGAGGCCTTTTATGAAGTTGGAGAAATTGCCTTAGATTCCAGATTCACTTGGAATTCGTAATGGGGAACAGAGGCTGGACTTGTCAAATGCTTTTTCTGTACCTACCGAGATTACTCTCATTAATTGATCAACTGTTGATTATCAATCTCTTTGTATACATTATTGATAAATTGTCACGACAAAATATTAAAAAATATATAACTCTTCCATTTAACAAATAATGAGACAAAGTTCCCAACTGCTTAGAAAGTAGTTTTTAATACAGTTTCCTCTGATAGCAAAAACCTGTTTCTTGGTTTTTTTCACCACTAATTATTTTCAGAGAACATTTGAGAGAAAGCCTAGAGGGTAGAAAAATTATTCTTCAGCCTTTGAAATATCTTAAGACAGTATGTTAAGGGGTTCTTTATTTATGCAAAAGGAACTAACAACAAATAATTAAATAATTGCAGGTTTGGCTTTTTCACACACAAAAAAAAGAGAGAAGAAAAAACAAGGACACAAACTGTAATTCAGGGGCAGACCACTAGGTTGTGTCTTGACAATTCCTTTTAGACCAAGTAGTAGACACTTGACTTGAGCAATGCACTGTAGAAAGGGTGTCAAACTCTTCCAGACTTTTGTGAATCTACAGGAAATGGAAACTTCATACATGACTAGTTATCACTCTCTTCTTCTGTTCCTTTAAACTTGCTTGTAATAAACCAGCCTAGACCATAGTTCTTCAAATTATCCAGTATAAATTTCTAAAAAAAATGTATACCCTAAGTGTTGATATATGTATATACAACTTTCCAACAAAAGTTGGAAGAAACACAAATGCCCATCAACAGATGAATGGATAAACAAAATGTGGTATGTACATACACTGGAATATTAGGCTTAAAAAGGAAAGAAATTCTGACACATGCTGCAACATGGGTGAACATTATACTAGGATATAATACTAGATGCAATAAGTTACAATATGACCAATAGTGCATTTGTCCACTTTTATGAGGCATCTGAAATAGTCAAATTCATAGGATGAGAACTCAAGGCATAGTTGCCAGGGGCTGGAGGGAAAGGGGGAATCAAGTGTTACTGTTTAAGGAGTAGAAATTTTCAATTTTTCAAGATGAATAGAGTTCTAGAGATAAGATAGTTGTGCTTCTTGATAAACTATGTAAGCATACTTGATATCACTCAATTGTACACCTAAAATAGTAAAAATTTACATTAAAATGGCAAAATGTTAATAACTTCAATATTTTAAACACACTCCTTTTCTGATTTCTACTGTGCACATCTGCTTTCCAAATCCTATATAATAAGAGGCTAATTTGCAAATTGTCCCCTCCACCTGGAGTTCAACCAGGGGGCAAGGCCAACCAGCCAACAGCCTACAGCCCCTCCCCCAAGCCAGCCCTGCCCCTGGTTAGCTACCCCATCCCGATCAGGGGTGGGGCCAGGCTGCCAACTGCCCCCAGCCCCTCCCGTCAGCCAGCCCAGCCTGATCAGCCCGATCAAGGCAGGCCGGCTGGAACCCACCCGTGCACGAATTCATGCACTGGGCCTCGAGTGTAAATATAAGAGTGAGTCCAATACAAGGTCACTTATGAAACACCATTACCATTCAAACTGTAAGGCATTAAGACAATGGGGTTAGACATAGAAGGAGGAATTATTAGAGAATGGGGATTTTGGATTGTGGAGCACTGATAAAACAAAGAAAGAGGGCAAGGAAGTGTGCAAATGTGCAACATGATGGCAAAAGCTTTTAGAATGGTGGTAAAGTTAAGGACAAGGTAGAAAATAGTATTTCACACTCTGCTTCTTCACAATGTTTTTCTAGCGCCACTAATTATTGATCTATTTATGAGTAAGACTGGTGGGAGGCAGGTATCTGAAATGAGCTCTTCCATGCTAGAGTATTAATAAGATGGAAGAACACAAAGTTTGGCACATAGTAGGCACCTTCGAAAGTAAATGTGGGTACCTTACCTCAGCTAACAAATATAAATTAAATTAACTCCGTAAACAATATAAAAGACCATACATAAAAAAGAGAAAAACAGAAAGATTTCATAGCCTTAGTTATTAAAAACAATGCCTTTAAAATAAAATATACTCAATAAATATTTATTGAACAAATTGATAGGGAAAATCTGACAATTTTACACTTTTACTGATTTTTGAGTCAGATGTTTCTGAATTTCCTTAGTCAATTCTTCTAGATCAATCTGTCACCAACGGTAAGTTGTTTATTGTGGCTCTTCTTTATATCCAATAAACAATTTCAACCCAAATTTTCAAAGATATGGATGTTTTTGATGAATGATAACTCTACACGTTCCATGAACCTAGAGAGGTATTTTCATAGAGTGTTTTCCCTCTAACCTTACCTACACCTGTGCTGTCACAGCCCTTGTCGCTTCCTGTCTGTGATTACAATTCCCCGCCTTGGTCCCTACAGCAGGTGGATGCATGAACCAGAGCCCTGGGGTTTTGGTGCACCTCCTTCTAACACGCCTCTCACTGTGGGCTCACTCAGGGCACAGAAATACACTGCTGAGTCCTCCAGCTGTGAAGCTGAGATGACAAGGTTGGCAGAACTCTTTGCTTTCTGAAAATTCAGTGAGTAGCGGCCTCCTGTGGCATTTTGCTGGTTGTAAGAGTCCTGACGAATGAGGAAAACCATCGCCCCACGGCTGAGCTGCTTGTACCAGAATAGACTGTAACTTGTATCACTGGTGTCATATGTGCACTCCAGGCTCACAGCCTCCTTCTCCTGCACCAGGATTGCTTGTTGGCCTTGAGTTACCTTCTGGGCAATACTGGACCCTGAGAGAAAAAAATACAAGCAGAAGGTTATGTGATAAATGATGTGAGATAGAAAAAATATATATATTTTGTATATATGTCTCCTTTTTCACCAATTAACCCTCCGCCCCCCCACCAGCCATTCCCACCCCTGGGAAGCCCCCACCGCCCCAGTGTCTGTGTCCATTGGTTATGCTAATATGCATGCATACAATTCCTTTGGTTGCTCTCTAACTGCCCCCCCCAACACACACACACATACCTCCCCTGCCATTTGTCTCGGAATCTATTTTGGTTCATCAAATTATGTTGATCATTGTATCCCTCATATGAATGAAATCATGTGATATTTATCTTTCTCTGACTGGCTTATTTCGCTTAGCATAATGCTCTCCAGTTCCATCCATGCTGTTGCAAATGGTAAAAGTGCCCTCTTTTTTATAGTGGAGTAGTCTTCTATTGTGTAGATGTACCACACAGAAAGAATTTTGTTTTACTCCCAGCCAGCTTTCCTTCCCAGGGTACTCATACAAGACTGCCTGCACCCCCTGTTGTTATGTCACAGAGAAGACCCATTCCCACTGGGGCATCCTCACCTAGCCACATGGAAGTTATGACCACCCTCAGAAGACCGGACACCAACATGTTCAAGTTCTCTCACTTGGTGGAAGATATCTTCTTTTTCTTCTTCAGTGTGAGGGCTCTGCAAGGTGAGGTGACTGACAGATGGAGAGAAGAAATGCTGAGCTGTGTGCTGCTGCTGCCCCAGAACAGGAAACAGGGTTTCTGGTGCAGCACGTTGCTGTGGGTCACGTCAAACTTTCTATGTACCGGCTGAGAGCCTCACCCAACCCACACTTCCTTTTGCATTAACCAACTCTTTTTCAATTTTATTTTTCAATTACCCTTTATGTCCAATATTATTTTGTTTTTATTTAAGGTGTATAGTAGTGGTTAGACAGTCATATACTTTACAAAGTGTTCTCTCCAATATTTTCAGTACCAACCTGGTACCATACATAGTTATTGCAATATTTTTTACTATATTCTTTATGCTGTACTTTACATACTAGTGACTATTTTATAACTATCAATTTGTACTTCTTTTTAAATATATTTTATTGATTTTTTACAGAGAGGAAGGGAGAGGGAGAGGGATACAGAGTTAGAAACATCGATGAGAGAGAAACTTTGATTCAGCTGCCTCTTGCATGCCCCCTACTGGGGATGTGCCCGCAACCAGGGTACATGCCCTTGACCTGAATCAAACCTGGGACCCTTCAGTCCACAGGCCTACTCTCTATCCCCTGAGCAAAACCTGTTAGGGCCAATTTGTACTTCTTAATCCATTCCTTTTTTTTCACCTGGGTCTGCAACCACCCTCCTCTCTGGCACATTCCTAGGTTGCAGGTTTGGTCCAATTTGGGGCCCCTACGAAGGTAACTGGTTGGTGTTTCTCTCTATCTATCTATCTCTCCCTCTCAAATCAATAAAATCATATCCTGGGGTGAGGATTTACAATTTGTTTTAAATATTTAAATCAAAATAGTTAAATGGGAATTTTCTACCATCTTCCTACCCCCTTCTACCCCCCAAAACAAACGAACAAGTTTCACAATTATACACTAAGTAGAGTGCCTGTGCAGAAGTTCAGGAATCTAGCACAGAAGTTACACTATGTGAGAAGCACATTCTGAGAACAAAACTATCTGAGATTGGTAGCATGTTAAAGGGTAGGAGGACCGATTTCATTTTTCGCTAGTCACGCCTTCCCGGGTGCAGCATGGTGCAGACCAATAGAAATCTTCTGGGCCTTTGATTTTTCCCATCGGGGAAAGTGAGCGTATGTGAGTGAGCCCTGGCTCTCCCAACTTTAGGGGAAGCTGCCAAAGAGCCTCGCCTCATTCTTGCCCATCCATATACTGAGGTGAGCTGCCCAGCTGGGAAGTGGGAAGCACCTGGAACAGCATCCAGGGCTCTCAATGGGCATTAAAGGGACACAGATCCCATTAACTGTAGCACAGACAGACGACATCAGGAACCTGCCCACGAGATGCTGGGGACACCTTGCCTGCAGATTCCCACAACTGGTCCACGAGCACCCCCAATGCTCAGTGTCTCACCCAAACATCATTCCACTTGGTGGCCGGCTACCAGTGCACACAGGAGGGCAACAAGAGTCAGCCTCTACAGATGGCTAGTTTGTGGGCTCAGAAAGGGTCCCACTGTGCGGGACTGGGTGAAGCCACACCATTTGAGCAGTCAGCACCACCTGAGGGAAAGCAAACAATAGGGAAGCTGTCAACACACAGTCTGGTTTTGAAGGATGAAAAAAAAGGCCATAATGTTTGTAGTGAATTGTCAAGCAAAGGGAGGAAACCGATACTGCAGTGAAGGTTTAAACTCTCAGTGAGTCTAAGTATGTACTGACTCTGCATCTCTGACCAGAGGATTTCTTCTTTCCTAAACAATTCCCATGTATATGTCATAAAAACAGTTAAGTCCATGGTAATTGTGCCCTCTCTCCCTCACTTCTAATTTGGTTTAGGAAGAATAAACCAATAAAACAAAACCCATGCATCATGCATCCCTCTCCCTGTCTTCCAGGAAATGGACCAATCAACAGGCACCTTGCTTTTACTGGACTGGAGCTAGTGGTTATAGTGAGGAAATAATGGAAGTCATTGAGGTGTTGGGCTACAATACTGGCCTTTCTTGTTCACATGTTATGCATCTGGTTTAATGTGATGCATTTCCTTAAAAGAAAAAACAATTAATTACTGACAACCATAACTCTCCCAAGAGCAATTATCTCACCATACAAGTCACCAATTCGTTAGGGAGAATATAAGAGATCTTGAAAATAACCTACTCAGGACCACAGGTGGGATAATTGGGAAATTAATGATTCATGCAACATTTTTCATTCCATTTATTTATCCATAACATTAAAAGAATTGACCTTTTTTTTAAAAAAAGAAAAAGGTTGTGGTTAGTAAAGTTTATTCAGTCAAAACATGAAGATGAGGCAAGGATATTTGGCACAAGCTATCTGTAAATTATCTATTCACCTAATGCCTTTGTGCACTCCACTAATAATAGTAAGGTAGATAATAAATACTTATAAAAATTTTCCTAGATAGCCCAGAAAGAAAGATTTGAATCATAATGGGAGAAAAAAATTACAAGTCTAGGAGTAGATTTAATTGTCTTAAAATAACAGAGTTTTATTGAGAAAGACATGTATAGATAGAAAGAAACTATATGTTCTTACTTAATGAAATAATCAAATACACACATTAGGAGTTCTGATCCTCACAAATCAATATATAAATTTAATTCTATCACAAAGCTTAAATTAAAAATATGAGTAAATACCAGAACTCACCTATCTTTAACAAACATCTACTGATTATCAACTATGTGGGAAAGTTCGTGCTGAGTACTGAGGCTATAGCAGTGAATAATATACAACTCAATCTTTTAAATTCTATGAGAGTATAAATGTGAACAAATATGTACAGAATTTGGGAAAAGAGAATTGCTTTGTGTGTTTAATCAGAAGCTCACTTTCTAAAATCATGTCCTACCCTGATTTCCTCAAACACACAAATAGTACATACCATCACTGGGCTCTGAAAACAAACATGTAACATATTTTTAACAATAAAGTGGTAAGAACACATAGAAAAAACTCACATTTTGCCACAAATGTAGAGGAAAATTAGTATAAATCTGTAATTTACTAAAATTTCTCACAGAACTATTAAATAGCAGGTGTTGCAAGAGAAGTCTCAATGAAATGAAAATGCTCAATTCAAGATATACAATTCAATTAAAAAATCATGATTCTAATTACACTAAAAATTGATGGAAATATAATTTAACTGTTAGCAATATTATCTGCTTACATAATTATCAATTTCACATTTTTTGTTATACATATTTTCTATATTTGGCATGTAATAATTTATAATCAGAAAAAGTAATAAAGGCTGTTTTCAAAACACAATAATTAAAAGCCCAATCATAATAAAGATTGTGATGTTGATGCTAAGGGGTTTCTTATAGGACAGGATTTTGAATAGCAAATATAAAGTCATCTTTAAAGCCTAAGTTTCAAAATTAAACACTATTAACTCACTTCAAGAATCCATTACCAACAAACACCCAACCATATGTTCTAACCCTTTCTGGGTCATCTTGAAACTGACCTCTTATTAAGTGTTTTTATACCAACACACTATTTTCCACTGCAAATAAGCAATAAGACAAATGCTGTGCTTGCAGGTCTGTCCCAGGCAGAGGGGGCTGCCCCCTCGCAGGTTTGTGTACAGGATGCAGGTGCCTGGGAAGCAATGTGTACTCGCTGCACAGAAGTAGACGGCAGAGTCTCCAGGTTGGGTTGCTGCGATGTGCAAGGAGAAATGTTTGGCCGCCTTATTCAAGAAAACGGTGAGTCTTTCATCTTCGTTTATGTCCTTATTTGAACGAATGCCTATAATGAACTGGGGACCTTTTCCAAGTTCTTGTTTATACCAAGGAAAGTAGTCAGAGCCACTGTCAGAATAAGAACAGTTGATAACAGCGGTGTTTCCCTCCTGGACATTCAGGGTAGAAGGATTCTGATCCACTTTCTCTCCATGGCTGACCCCTATGCAGAAAGAAGGAGTCAGAGAAAGAGGAAGAGTGACCAGATCATTAAACTTCATCATTTTCTTTTTATCCCGTAACTAAGGAACCCTGAATAAAGCCAGTGTTGCTTCTAAAGAATATCCACTAATACACTGTTTCCCATAAACCCTCAACTCACGGTCCAGCTGCAGCCACAAGAACATGAACAAAGCTCCAATGGACGTCTTCATCATTCTTCCTACTCAGGAGCAATTGTGCACCTGCAATCACAGCCAGGGGAGCTACCGCTGTTATCAAGTTACCCCTCCTTTTCTCTGACAATCATAGGGGTTTCTCACATTCTACACAGCCAATTAAAAAAAAGACTGTGCTTCTGCCAAAGCCTGTTCATTCAGAATCCACTAAAATGCACCCTCCACATGTTCTGCATCAGTGAGGTGCACTGCCATCTTGTGGTTACATTCACAACTACTGAACTTGCTGTTAAATATTCTCTTACCCTGTGCCTCTGAGGGACTCAAAACAACAATTGGTCAAATAAATTAAGTCAAATCAGAGAATACGGAAGAATATAGAGATCAAGGTTTGTAACTCTGCACACTACTGAGTCGTGGTTAATATTTTGGAAAGAGTCAGATGCTGTTGGTATTTATTCTACAATGGCCTGGGTTTACATGTTTGAAATTTGGAAAACGCAATGGTTCACTCTCTTAAGCAAAAAATACATATAAAATCTTCCTCTTCAAGCTGTCATACATAAACACAATGGAATACAACTCAGCCTTAAAAATGAATTAAATCTTACTTTTACAACAGTATGGATGGACCTAGAGTGTATAATGCTAAGTGAAATAAATCAGACAGAGAAAGACAAATACTATATGATTTCACTTGCATGTAGAATCTAATGAACAAAAGAAACAAACAAAATAGAAACAGACCCATAGATTTAGACAACAGACAGACAGTTGTAGGCTAGGTGAAAAAGGTGAAGGGCTTAAGCAGTACAA